GAAAGGGACCTGAGGGTCAACTTTTTCCACACAGAGGGTGGTGCGTGTGTGGAACGAGCTGCCAGAGGGTGGGGGCTGGTATAGTTACAACATTTAAAAGGCATCTGGATGGGCACACGTATAGGAAGGGTTTAGAAGGATATGGGCCGAATGCTGGCAAGTGGAACCACTTTAGTTTGGGATATCTGGTCGGCATGGACCGGAAACAGGGTCTGTTTCCGCGCTGCGCGACTCTGGTGTGGAGATAGAGGATCAAATGGAAATGGGGCAGCAAGCAAAGAGGGCTGAATGGCCTCCTACTCTTGCTGCTGTCTGTGTTTCGAAGAAGCTGGCAGCAGCGGTTGTGACAAGGGGTAGGGTGCCGGAGACTGATGGCACTGCAGCGGGCAGTGTCAATATGAAACCATCAAACTGGAGTGGCTCAGCAAAAGCCCCCTACCCCTCCGAAACCACCGCTGGCGACACCACCACTACCCCCCCATCACGCCCGCTCCCCAGGGAAAGCCCCACTCACCTTTCAGTGCCACCCGGTTCCTCCGAATGGCGGTGAGCACCCCCTCGATGTCAGCCTCGTTGCTCAGGGACGGTCGGACATCGACCACCTCAAAGTCGACGGGCACACAGGCGCACCTGGCACGGGGGTGGAGTGGGGGGAGGAAAGAGAGGCGTGAGGCTTGGCGAGAGCCATGGCCGTCCCACACGATCCCGGAAACCCCAACAACCCCGTCCCGCTCCACCCCCTCCCCCCCACCCCACCCACCCACATCCCACACACCCACGCGCACACTCTCGCGGGCACAGAGACTGTTCATGCCCCACCTACAACCCCAGACACCCCCGCCCAACCCTGGACAAACTGCCTTTCAAATCTCTCAGTTCACTCGGCTCCGAACCACCTCCCACCACATCAAGGTAATGCTCCACGGACCTGCACCTCATTATAACTGACCCCTATCTCCGTCACCTCCTCCAGCCCCTTACGCCCCCCACCCTATCTCCGTCAC